TTGTATTAATCTGTTTACAGTTTTCTTCTGCAATAGTAGTGAGCGGGAACAGGCTTGCACAGGTCAGATATACTTCAACAACATGACGCCTGAGAGCCACACAAGCCCATATTTCACTCTCATGAACCCACTCACCTGCAGTCACCGGTTTCAGCACACTTTCCATGGCCCAGCTCACACGTGCAGTTACTGGCCGAGGGTGTTGGAGATGTTTCTACTGAGGAAAATAAAACTGAAGAGAAGAGTACATTTAACATAGAGTTTGGTATATATTTGTCTTATTTTATTAGCTTTTGTAAGGTATCCTGTTGTTATTTTTTTCTTTTCTTTGACCATTATAGAGTTCAGAAGTTACTGCATAACAGCAATCCTCAATGATAAGTCCTCTTCAGATTAAGTAAACAAGTCCATCAGATCACATAACAAGCTCTAGCTTGTCTGTGAGAGTTTGTCACTTGTAGAAGGCATGTGCGATCAGTGTCACTTTTCAACAGCTTATGTAGCATGTCGAGTGGTAAACAACAGCTAGCGCATACTAAGATGCACATACGCGTTGATCTTGCCTGAAGGGAAGCTGATTTATTGTGACAAACTTTCAGTGAGAGACAATCAGGGGAAGACAAACTATGTTATTTAATTAGTTATCTTAAAGGGATATAGTTCACCCAAAAATGAAAAATTTGTCATCATTTAACATGTTGTTCCAAACCTGCATGAGTTTCTTTCATCTGTTGAACACAAAAGAAGATAATTTGTTGTAAAAATGTTTCAGGGAGCCATTGACTGGGAGTCAATGGCTACCAGAAACCGTTTGGTTACCAAGATTCTTCAAATTATCTTTTTGTGCTCAGCAGAAGAAAGAAACTCACACAGATTTGGAACAACATGAGGGTGAGTAAATGACGGCAAATTTTTCGGTGAACTGTCCCTTTCATTTTCATTTGCTTTACTATCAGTACTCCATGTTGGTCAGTCTGACAGGGTGAAAATATAAAGTACATTATTGCAGATTAATATAAAGTAATTTTAACAGTAATAGAGTAAAAACATTCATGTTCATCTAATTACATTCATTATTGAGAGTAATGAGTACAAATGCTGAAGGGAAAAAGTGTAATGAAAACAATGCCAGAATGGCAAAAAAAAAAAAATACAGTATATATATATATATATATATATATATACACTGTGTATATATATGTAATAAAATATTTAAATATATTAATAAATTAAATATAATAAATTATAAATATAATAAAATATATATTACAATTACAAAAAATGCAAAATGTTATTAATTTTAGAGAGAAACTGTTGCATGTTTTCATAAAAGTCTGACATCTGACCGGGAGAGTGGAAAGTTTATGCGTGTTCTTTTTCCATCCTTAATAATCTAAATGTACTTTTATATGAAAAGTTTTATGAAGTGTTACAGGAAATGATTCACCCCGATCTCCATCATCACCAGCCCGACTGAGTGATTTAGCATTCTTGGCCGTGCTTATCCAGTATTGGGTTTTGCACTCCGGTGGATGTTAGTGCAGGGTGTGTATGTGTGTGTGTGTGTGTGTGTGTGTGTGTGTGGGG